CAGAGGCAGGCAGATCTCTGTGAGTTCGAGAACAACTTGGTCTACAAGAGCGAGTGCCAGGACAGTCTCCAAAGCCACAGAGAAACCCTGTCTCGAAAAAAACAAAAACAAAACAAAATAAACAAACAAACAAAAACCACCCCAACAAAGACCAGGCCTGGTGGTGCACACCTTTAACCCCAGCATGCCCGACGGGGGAGCAGATGGTTCTCTGTGAGTTTGAGGCCAGCTTAGCCTATATAGTGAGTTCTAATACAGCCAGGGCTACATAGTGAGATCCCAATTCAAAGCAAAAGTGAAAACAACCCAGATGCAATTTGAAAGGTTTTATTTGACTCACAACTCTAGGTTAAAGTGCAGCATTGACGGGACATTAAGGCAGCAGAAACTTGAAGCAGCTAGTCGCATTGCTTCCACGGCCAAGAGCAGAAAGTAATGAATTAATGCATGCATGCTAATATCCAGCTCCGTGGCTCTCAGAACATTTGGGTGACTCAAGAAGCGGTGCCATCCAAATCCAGGGTAGGTCTTCCCACCGTAAGTAAAAGCAAATTAAGGAAATCCCCCACAGACCTGGCCACAGGCCAACTTAATGCAGACAGTGCCAGGTGATTCTAAACTGTGTCAGACTGACAACCCAAACCAATCATCACACAACCATAAACCTTAGGTCTATGGCTCACTTACACAGCCACGCTGTCTGTCTCAGAGAGTCCAATCGGCCAGGCACAGGAGCTCACATTTAAATCATTAGAGATATGGAAGGAGCAGGGAAAGACTGGGGATGAGAAAGTGATAGCTGGAGCAATATGACCGAAATTTATCACATGCCTATATGGAACAGCCATAATAACCTCTCTCACTAGAAACATGTCATTGGCCATTGATAATTTTAAAAAGAATGGACACAGTATTCACTAAGAATATACTTGGAGGCTGGAGCCATGGCTCAACAACTGTTAGGAGAACTTACTGCTGTTGGAGACGACCTTGCTCCATTTTCCAGCACTCACACGCTGGCTGACAACCGTCAAAGCACTCACACACATGAAAATCAGTAAGTCTTTAAAAAAAGGATATACTAACATATATGTAAGAAACACATAATAAATAGTGTATGTAGAGGTAAATATATAATGTATGTATTCTAGATAAGCAACAGCGCCAGCATGCTCAACATGCATGTTCTTATTTTGTTTTGTTTTGTTTTTTCGAGACAGGGCTTCTCTGTGTAGCCCTGGCTGTCCTGGAACTCACTCTGTAGACTGGGCTGGCCTAGAACACAGAGATCTGTCTTTGTCTGCCTACAAGGGCTGAAATTAAAGCATGTGTCACCACAACCTGGCAACATGTATGTTCTTTTTTTTTTTTTTTTTGGTTTTTCGAGACAGGGTTTCTCTGTGTAGCTTTGGAGCCTATCCTGGCACTGGCTTTGGAGACCAGGCTGGCCTCGAACTCACAGAGATCCACCTCCTCTGCCTCCCCAGTGCTAGGATTAAAGGAATGAGTCACCAACGCCCCGCCCTGCAACATGTATGTTCTTAAGAAAATGCAAACTGGGGCTGGGGATGGTGCTGTACACTTTTAATCTCAGAACTGGGAGGAAGAGACAGATAGAAGTCTATGAGTTCAAGGCCAGCTTGATCTACTTAGCAAGTTCTACGGCAGCCAGAGCTACATGGTAAAGAGGCCCTGTCTCAAAAACACCAAAGGGAAAAAGTTTTAGAAAAAAAGGAAGGAAATACACACACACACACACACACACACACACACACACACACCACCACCACCACCACCACCAAAATAGCATCTGTGTGTTTCAGAATATTCCTTTACACGGTGTGAAGACGTGTCACTATGATTAGTTTAACAAAGAGCTGGATGTCCAACAGCTAGGCAGGAAGAGGTTAGGTGGGACTTCTGGGGACAGAGGAGTCTCAGGGGAGAAGAAAGGCCAGGTCGCCAGCCAGATGTGGAGGAAGCAGGATGGGTAGTACAAAGTAAAGGTAACCAAAACAAGTAAAAAAACATAGCTTTAAAAAGATGGGTTAATTTAAACTATAAGAACTAGTTAAGAACAAGCCTAAGCTAGGGTCAGGCTTTCATAATTAATAAGAAGTCTCCGTGTGGTTATTTGGGAACTGGTAGGTGGGACAGAGAAAGACTTGTTACATCTGTGCCCAGGCCTGGCCTCCTTTCTTCATGCAGAGTTGAAATGAGGCAGCCATCATCCTGTCCTTGGATTATTCCCAAAAAACTGGCCTGATGGCCACACAGAAATTTACAGGGATAATTTGGTCCAGTTTCACCAAGGATTCATTGGTTCCCTGGGGCATTGTGGGGCCTGTGGGTAAAGAAGGACAGAGCTGAACTGAGGTGAAGACAATCTCTAAATTTGGGGGGTTCCCACCCACACCCATTTCCCACCCTTCCCATCGGGAGGTGCTCGAAAGGTCCTTCCTAAATGCTTCATTTGTGGGGAGAGTGTTGAGACAGGTTCTCATGGTCGAGCTGTCCTCAAACTTGCTATGTAGCCAAGGATGACTTTGAACTTCTGAACCTCCTGCATCCCAAATGCTGGGATTACAGATGTGTACCGCTATACCCTGTTTACACAGTGCTGAGAGTCAAGTACTGGAGTTCATGACTGACATCTGTAACTTCAGTTCCGGGGGATCCATGGCCCTCTTTCGCCTCCTTGGGCTCTTCATGCACATGGCGCACAGACAAAAATGCAGGCAAAACGCCCATACGCATAAAGTAACTTAAAAAAAAAAAAGATCTATTCGTGTATGAGTGCTGTACACGTGTATGCCAGAAGAGGGCATCAGATCTCACTATAAATGGCCGGGAGCCACCATGTGGTTGCTGAGAATTGAACTCAGGATCTTTGGAAGAGCAGCCAGTGCTCTTAACCAGTGAGCCATCTCTCCAGCCCACATAAAATAACTTTTAAAGAGTGGATGATCGGCAAACATCCACCAACTGAGCTACACCTACAGATCACATTTTTTCATTATCTGATATTTATTATTTTATTTTATGTGTATGAGGGTGTTTTGTTTTGTTTTTTTTGCCTGCATGTATACTATGTGTACTATTTGTGTGCCTGGTGCCCTCAGAGCCAGAAGAGGGCATTGGATACCCTGGAACTGGAGTTGCAGGCAGTTATTGCCACCTTGTGGATGCTGGGAACAAAACCCTGTTCTCCGTAAGAGCTCCAAGTGCTCTTAGCCACTGATCCATCTTTCTGGTTCCTACTTATCCCTACCCTATGGTGAAAAGAATTTTCCTGTGTGCCTATGTTGGAGAAACTTGTGACACCACTGGGTAGGACCTGGCTTTTAGATGCACCCATATTGATTTAGGGTATGGCACTGTAACTATAAGTAACATAGCTGAATTGGACAATTAAAATTTGCCACAAAATCGCCCTGAATTACGGGTAGGTTTGGTAACTGCTTGGTGGAGGCCATGTCATGACTGGTGAAATTCCTTATTCAGCAGGCAATTGATTACTTACTTATTTTTTCTCCTAGGGTGATTGGAGCATAACTGACACATGGAAATAAAATATGTTGGGGGCTGGAGAGATGGCTCAGTGGTTCAAAGTACTGGCTGCTCTTGCAGAGGATCTTGGTTCAATTCCCAGCACCTCTTCTGGCCTTTGTAGGCATCAGGCATGCACATGGTATAGACATACACCCGGCACAGATACACACTCGTGCAAAACACACGTACACATTAATTTTTAAATTAAATATGTCAAGTTCTTGCTTTGTACATAGTAAATACAATCCAACTTGTATCTGTCAGTTATACCTCTGTCAACCTGGGACAAAGAAAACCCTCATAATTATACAAGAACCTGAAGTGGCCAGCTCCCCATTTAGGCAGCCATAACAGCCGAACACGTGCTTGCCATAACCTTGCCTTGGCCACTTAGAGGTCAGATGCCTGCCTCGTGGCAAGGAACCAATCAGAAGTTAACTGGTGGTGCTATGCTTTACGGCTCTGGGTGTGCTTTACAGACAAGCACACAGCAATGATTCGCAGAGCATAGCAACCACCCTGGGAGGGCCTATGGGCCATAACAACCAGTTGGCCAATCAACACAGGGCAACCCCTCCAAGCCTGGATGCACACCAATCCTGAGCCTGTGCATGCCCCTAGACCCTCCCCTTACGCTGCCCTATAAAGATCTGTGTGCAGCGGCTTCGAACTGTCTTTGCTAGCCATCTGACATGGCAGGTGGATCAAAGACCCGAGCTAACATGGGGTTAGCTCATTAAACTACAATAAAGCCTCATGCAATTTGCATCAAGCTTTTGCCTCCATTCTGTGATTGGGGTGGCCGAGGTCCTGGGCTAAGATTCTGGAAGCCTGAGCTTTTCGAGGGTCTTACAAACCCATTTAAAAAAGGAGTGTTCAGTTATTTTACCAGGGTCTATTTGGAGACAGCCTTTGGCTATGCCAGGCGTCAACCAGGAAGACTGCCATTATCAGCACAATTATAGCAGCCACTCCAAAGCGGATGAGGTTACCCGTGCTGTAGCCTTCTGTCACGGCATCTGGAGGTGTGTAGCCTTCTGTCACGGCATCTGGTGGGTTTGAAAGGGAGAAGGTGATCATACTGGCCACAGAGGGCAACCCTCCTTCACAGACAGATGAGTGAACCTGATTCCAATACGTCCCCTTGAGGCATGGACTCCATTCCCTAAAGATTTAACTTTAGATGGGTTTTTAAATTTAAGTGGAAACGGGTATTCCTTGACCTTCTTTTGTTTGTGTTCACTCTGCCTCAGCTCTTTTCCTTTGCTCGGCTTTATCTTATTTCTACCTCTGCTCACTTCCATTTCTTTATCTCTCTTGATGGATTAGGGGTTAATCTCAGATACACAGCGTAGAACAAAAAAGACAGATCCATGCATAGATCTACAGAACACAGAAATCAGTGGCAGTTCAGCATGCCTCCTCAGACCACAAAATATCCTATGGGCAGTGAGCTTCAGAAAATTTGAACCTAGCAGAGGAAAGACTAGTTCACCGTATATCTGTTGATGAAAGTTTCCGCCCTGCCAGCCTGGTCCCATTGCTTCAGCCCCAAATAAACACACAGACACTATATAAGTTATAAAGCTGTTGGCCAATGACGAGGGCTTCTTATTGGCTAGCTCTGTCTTAATTATACCCACAGCTACTAATATATGTATTTTCACGTGGTCTTGGATTACCAGAGAATGCCTGGCTTGCAACTCCTTTGCCTGCTACATGGCGACGGACTCTGGCGGCTCTCCTGCCCACCTTTCCCAGGATTCTCCTCCTCTCCTAGTCCTGCCTATCTTCCTGCCTCATTGGCTGTTGGCCAAACAGTGTTTTATTCATCAACCAATAAGGGAAGCATATATACAGAAAGACAACACCTTCATATATCTCCCTTTCCTTCAGGAGGAGATGTTGAATTGGAAGGAGTAAGGGAAATGGCTAAGTGGCTAAAGTGCCTGAACCCCAGAACCCACATAAAACTGGTTACAGTAGTGTGGATCTAAAACCTGGAGGGAGAAATCCTGGTCACAGGCACCGCTGACCACGCCCGCTTGGGTGTGACCACAGCTAACTTACAAGGTTTTAAGAAGGAGGGAGGATGGGGGCTGGAGAGATGGCTCAGCGGTTAAGAGCACTGCCTGTTCTTCCCAAGGTCCTGAGTTCAATCCCCAGCAGCAACTTGGGGTGGTGGCTCACAACCATCCGTTATGAGATCTGGTGTGCAGATATACATGGAAGCAGAATGTTGTATACATAATAGAAAATAAAAAAAATAAAGTTAAGTATAAAAAAAAAAAGAAGGAGGGAGGCGTGCACACGACTCTCTTTCACCTGGTGGAGCTGACTAGGAAGCATTTCTGGGTCTGTCCTGCTCAGGTGCAAACCTGGTCACTGGCTCCCATGCATGAGTACTTTTCCCCAATAAAATACCGCTTATCAACCTGTCTCTGACTCCGTACACATCTATAAAATCCCATACGCACTGTAGTGAGACAAGAGGAGAATCCACGGAAGCCTGAGGGCCAGCCAGCCTGGCATCTGCAGCAGGGAACTGCAAGAGACCCTGCCTCACGCAGGGCAAAAAGCAAGGATGACAGTAGCGAATGTTGTCTTCTGACCTCCACACATGCACATTGGCGTGTGAGTGTGCACTTAAACACGTGGACACACACAAGCACACATGCACACAGCAAAAGCAAAAGAAAGAGGAGGAGCTATGATGGGGGAAATACTTCTGTGTATGTTTATAAATAAAGTACTTGCTTGGCCAATGAGACAGTAGGTTAGGCTGGACTAGGAGTCAAAGAGGATTCTGGGAAATGTAGTAGA